ACATATTGCTGCAACTACAATCCCAGAGGTGAACGGTTCAAGTCCACCAGTTGCTCTGCCGGGGAAGGAGGGACAATCTCCTCCTGTACCAGTCAGATCTGATTTGATGGTACACGCACACAAAAATAATAAAATAAAATAAAAAAATTAAAAATAATAATACTGATCCTAAAAAGTGTTAGTAGCACAGTGGTTATAAACACTAGCTGCTATCAATAGGTCCTTGGTTCGAACCCACAAGCTCCTCTGAAGATGTGGCATTTGTTTCTTTGAAGAATTACAGTTTTCCTTTCTATGAAGGAAGGCAATGAAAGCGAAGAAGGAAGCCCCTACCCTCCCAAAACTGAAGCCAAAGCAAAGGCATTAAAGGCCAAGGCAGTCCTGAAGGGCATCCACAGCCACACACACACACACAAAAAAGAATTTCCGCATAGCACCCACCTTCTGGTGGTCTAAGACGCTGGGACTTTGAAGGCAGCCCAAATACCCCTGGAAGAGCGCCCCTAGGAGAAACAAGCTTGACCACTATGCCATCATCAAGTTTCCCCTGACCACTGAGTCAGCCAGGAAGAAGATAAAAGATAACAACACACTTGTGTTCATTGTGGATGTCAAGGCTAACAAGCACCAAATTAAACAAGTTGTAAAGAAGCTCTATGACATTGATGTGGCCAAGGTCAACACCTTAATTAAGCCTGATGGAGAGAAGAAGGCCTATGTTCGACTTGCTCCTGACTTTGATGCTTTGGATATTGCTAACAAAATTGGGATCATCTAAACTGAGTCCAGCTGGCTAATTCTAAATACAAATTTTTCTCACCATAAAAAAAAAAAAATATACAGTTTTGCAAAACTTCTAAGGCAATCCTACTGACTAAGAGTTGCCACATGGCAGTATCAACTTACTTAGCAGTGGGTCTGGGGTCTGCTAGTTCACTCCTGTACTACCTGTTTGAAGATTTTCCAACTATCCACTATAGTCTGATTCTGCACAATACTCTAAGGATTCAGTCAAAACTCCTCTGATCTGAATTCTGGGACTCACTCACATTTGTCCCTGCCAAATCCTCTTCTCGGGCTGAGTGTCTTAACAATTTCTCCAGGAAGCCTTTTGATGGCGTTTTTTTCCCAAGATCAAATAAGACCTACTTCCCAAAGTCCAGTAAGTTTCAGAGGGGTCCTTACACCCCATCTTTAAGGACAGAGAATTTTAACACTCCTCTCACCAGCAGTGTTCGCTTTCCAAACCTAAACAAGTTATCAAATAAATAAAACAAGTAGGAATGACATTTTTGTATTTAATGACATTAATGAGTTAATTACTAATTTTTCAAGTATAGTAAATGTTGGGATTATGAATCTTTATCTTCATGAGAAATATTTTAAATTACTTACTGAACAAATAAAAGAATCTGAGATCTATTATGAAACTACGAGGAATTTAGCATGGGTGGTTGGTTGACGGTGGTCGAGGTAACAATTCACTCATTATTATTTTGTGGATGTGTATGTGCAAAGTTCTTCCAAACTCCAAATATTTTTAAAGAAAGAGATTTTACAAGGTTTGATTGCCCCCTTTTCAGTGTCTCACCCTCCATCTTCTTCTGCACCAATCACGAAATTGGGAGCCCATTGCCGTCAGAGTATGTTCCCTTCTCTGTGAAAACAAAACAAAAATCCAGAGGAAGTCCGGGATGAGGACACGGCTTTAATGAACTTCTCCAGGGCAGCTCAGGTCAATGGCTCAGCGACTTGCGCCCCTTGAGCATGCGCCGAAGAATGACCTGCACGCCGGCCGGCGTGCTCAGGCGCTTGATCCAGCCATGCTTACGTTTGCGTTTGATGTTACTCGGCTGATACTCATTACCGCGCGTCCTGCCCCGGACTGGCTGCAGGGTGGGTAGACCCCAGGTGTCCGGGAGCCCCAGCCAGGCTCGGGGCTGGAGCCACCTATGTAAGCAGAAAAGGGGGAAAAGGTCAGAGACAGCGCTGTGTGACCTCAGACACAGCGCTCAACTTCTCTGAAAGTTCAGCTTCCCGACCCGCGCCGCGCGACAGCCTCTGGATGCAATTAGACGTTCCATAAATACACGAGGGGGTTGGCTTGTTACCAGGAAGGTCAACAGTAGGCGCTAGTCTACTGCATTGTTCTATATTGTTCTCACTTCCAGTTTTGGAAAGAAATGCCGCTGAAGCCTCACCTGGCCTTTAGCAGAGCCGTCGACCGACTGGCAGGACCCCACACGCGTGCCAAAGACAAAGCCAAAGAAGCCATCGCCTGCGTTAGTAAACTCGTCTCTGTCGCCAGGAAAGTCGTAAGTTCCGCCACTCCGGAACACAGACTTCTGGGAGGTGTAGTTCGCCATACAGGAAAGCTGGCTTTGCCGCAAAGAACTCTGGGAGTTGTAGTTCCAAGCCTGCAGACAAGCGTGAGCTTCGGTGACTGCAAGGGAATGTAGTCCTTTGTGGAGACCCAACAGATGGAGAAGGGTGTCTCCTCGTGAGGCGCATGCGTACAGAACTGACCCAATGACGGCTGGGAATTGAGGTGCCTTCTGTTCACCAGTAGAGGGTGTCCCGAGGTGACCATGGCGCAGCTGGTGGCATCGGCTGGAAAGGCTGATATATTCCCGCCCCGTGTCCAGCAGCAGCCAGGCAGATGGCACACAGCTGGCTGGCAGCCTTTCTTTGGCCCCTGCCAATTCTCCGCCCCTTGGCAGGGAGCCCAGAAAGCCCGAGTTCTTGCAGACTGGAAATCTTTGGGGTGGTCCCCCATTCTCTCTGCCTTTTCATTTCTCATTCTGCAAGCCTGATAAATGAAAGGGGCTCCAGAGTTCCGCCTGCTGGTCTTGACCCCTTTTAAAAAAACTAATAAATTTTTCTAATGCACTGATCACCTTGACCTGTTAGACGCCCTCTATGGCTCCGCATTGCCTTAGGGAAAAATGTTCAGGTCATTCACCAGGCATGCCAGGCCCTTTACATACAGACATATACTGCCTTTTAGCCACACCACACCCTCCTCTCTGCCTGGTATTCTTCACCCTTGATAATCAGACGTTTGCTTCAGGATGTTCTTCAGTCTTGTCCCTTCCTCTGGTTCAACCCTGACTCCATCTGGCTGGAGTGCCTGTAGTAGCCACATTCTCCCTTCTGCCCGGGGTACTCAAAACGGTTTGGCCTGGACCTGACTCCCTGTGGAAGCCCTAGCCTCCTCCAGCATGCAGTGGGAGTGTTTAAGGAAGGCATGCAGATGAAATCATATATGTCGTCTCCCAGGAGTACCCGGAGTAGGAGTAGGCAAGTGTAAATGGCTGGAGTTAATCCATCTATGGCAGCAAATTCCTGGGGAAAGCAGTAGACCAGGAGCGAGGGAACAGTTAACCCATTGTTTCCTGCAGTCTATGGCACCTGCACCTTCATTCAGCACACCACCACCACCATAATAAAAATGCCAATGAATGATAGACCAATTTGTTAAGCATTTGTTATGAGCAAGCTGTTTTAATCTGCATAGCAAACTCAGGATAGAATTTCTTTCACAGACAAATAGGTGCTTAGAGAAATGACCTCCCCAAGCCTCCATTTCTCCAACTGAGACTGGATTTGAACACTAGGCTCTTTGACTCTCACTTTCTTGGGGTTCCTGTCTGGACCACAGAGAAGCAGGTACCTGCCTCTGGCTACCACCCTCCTCAGCTCCATTGGTTATTGTTAGGTGCCATCAAGCCAGCTCTGACTGATAAAAACCCCACGTACAGCCAAATGACACACTGCCCAGTCTTGAAACATCCTTAAAATCAGTGCTGCCCTTGAACTCATTGTTGCAGCCCCTACATCAACCTATTTTTGTTGAGGGTCTTCCTCTCTTTAGATGACCTTTTACTTTTCCAAGTCCTTAACCATGTCCTTCTCCAGGGACTGACCCCTCCAGGTAGCACATCCAAAGTAGATAAGAGTTTCTCTCCATCCTTGTCTAAAACGCACTTCAGCGGCACTTCTCTCAAGACGAATTTGCTCGGTTAGGAGCCATTCATTTGAGAAGTGGAGTTGTGAAACACAAATTCTCTTCTTGCTCACAGCTGTTAGACTTTTGTGTTTAAGTTTGGCAAATAACAATAATCACTACTTGAAATCATATAGTCTTGGGCTCAAGTCCCAGTTATGCCTTTTGCTTACCTTGGGAATTTGGCCAAGTGATTTGCCCTTTATAAGCTCTGTTTTCTCACTTGAAATTGGAAAGATTGGCTGTTTCTTGAAGGCATGGGTAGGTATCTAGAAGGTTATAGGGGCAAGGGATCTCTATTTGGCGGCAACAGGACTTTTTGGAAGCTGGGATTGGCTAGGGTGACCCCATGCGGAGAATGAAGATCTCAAGCCCCTCCTCCTTCATGGAGGCCCGCAGACTTCAGGCTGCGACCCTAGACTCAGCCCTGGGCCAGGCCCAGGACCTCCCCCACCTCCGTGAGCCCCCTGAAAGGGGCGGGGTCGCTGCACCTAGAACCAGCCCCATTCTTAGCGCCGCCACCTTTAATTGGCCAGTTAACTAGGCCAATTCAGCTGAAAGCACCGATTGGCCTGCCAGCCCGTTTGTCTGCGTGCGGCCCGCCCTCCCGGGCAGGGACTTAAAGGGCCGGCTTGCTCAGCGGCCGTGGGATGCCCCCGCATTGACTGCCCTGGGCCCGCAACTGCCGCTGCCGCCCGCGTAGTCGCGCCTGGCCAGACACCGCGCCACCATGTAAACAGCACCTGCCGGCGGATGCTGACTTCTCGGCTCGGGACCCGCCTGCCCCAACCTGGGTTCCGGGGGCCCTCGATGAGGTGAGAAGGGAGCGGGCCCGGACGGGGGGCACTGAGGCCCGTGTCAGAGATAAGGTGCCCTCCAGGCCAGGACTCCTAGGAAGCCGCAAAGCCCTAGCAGCCCCAGCCTCGCTGCAGGGCTGACAGGCCCCAGAGGGCAGGGGCTGGCGCGGCACATCTGCAAACCGTGGGGGGCCATCCTGGGGTGGGGGCGCGGCCAGCCGCCTTCATCACCCCCTGAGGCCCAGCCTTGGACCAATGTGCTGTCTCCAGAAGCCCCCAGACTGGGAATCAGAAGCAGGGGCGCTCCTTCCTAGCACCCCTAGGCCCTAGATAGTGGGGGAGCTGCATGGGACTCCCCTCGAGTTATGTAACAGCTTACGGTTACCATGAACACACAAGGGGGGTTGCGGGGGGTGCAGCGAGAAGGACGGAAGCGTAGAGGCCCCCAACTATAGCCCAGGTACCTCCATCTCCTCGTCTCCACCACTGGTATTTATCCTGGTCAACTGTAGAATTTAGGGTATAGAGAGCAGCTTCCACCCAGCATCCTTTGAAAACCACGTATTTCATGCCCTTGGGCCTCAACTTGCCCATCTGTGAAACAGGGCTAGCTCACCCTTCTTGAGCAGATGTTGGAACCACGGGGCGGGGGCGGATGGGGGGGAGCAGAGTCCTCCAGCTGTGCTCTGCCAATATGTATGTAGTTTTAATTAGAAGAGACCCACTCAAAGTGAGGTGTTGAGTAGGGCTTTCTACAATGCATTCCCCATCTTCCTTCCCCAGGGTGTCTGTCACCTTTCTGGACCCTAGGTAGAGGCCTAGGGTGCGGCTCAGTGTAGGTCTGCATCTCTGATGATGCCTTCCACAGCCCTCAAAACATAATACTGGTTTTGCCACATTAGATGAACCCTGACCCAACAAGAAAGAACTATGCAACAGAACTCAAATTCTTAAAAAAAGTTCAGGCTAGTTAGACTGATTAAGAATAGAGGCCCAATAGAGATACTCTTTACCCCTCAAACCAAAATGATCTTTTGAGGTCACGTTTTAACTAAATAACAGAAATATTATCACTTAAGAGTAATGATCTCTTTAAAAAAATATACCCTAAAATGGTAACAAGTTGCATTAAAGCAAAGATGAGAAGGTAAGGGGATGGGAAAACTAGAGTACCAGAAGTTGTACAACTGGAACAGAGTGAATGACAATGATCACACATTGTGAACAATGCAATCCGTTTCATAGAATTTGTGTAGGAATTATTAAATGGGAGCCTAATTTGCTGTGTAGCCTTTACCTTAAACACAGTAAAATATTTCTTAAAAAAAGAAGAGGGGAGTAATTGAATGAAGGAATGAGGCAACCATGTTGTAGTTGTCTTTTTTTTTTTAATGTTTTGCCAAGTCATCTGCAACCTTTTGAACAGTAGCTCTGAACCCTGCTCTAGCCTGAGCCAATCTCACTGCCTCCAACACACTTGCCCCCATTACCCTAGTTACTGAATCAATCCATCTCATCCTGAGTCTTCCTCTCCTGCACTGTCCCCTCTGTCCCGACACCCTTTCGAGCATGATGTCCTTCTCCAAGGACTGGTCCCTCCTGGCTATATGCCCAAAGTATGTGAGACAGAGCTTCAATATCCTTGCCTCCATGGAACAACCTGGTTTTACCCTCTCTAGTTCAGTCCTGTTTGTTCTCTCAGCGGTCTGTGATAGTTACCATTGTTGTTGCTTTATACTATCAATATTAGTGACCAGCAAGTCAATTCATGGAGACTAAACATGTGCAGAGTAGAATCCATCCATAGGGTTTTCAAGACTGTGGACTTTGTGAAGCAGCTTCCCTAGCCTGGCTTCCATGGTGCCTCTGAGTGGATTCAAACCACTAACCTTTCACTGAATAGTCGAGCTCTTTACTGTTGGTCCCACCCAAGGAGGCCATCCAAAAAACCCACTGTTGTTGAGTGGTTTTGAACCCAGTTTTCCAAAGCTACCCTTTTTTAAATTTTTTTTTAAAATACTTTAAAGTTCACAGAAAACTTGGATTTCTAGTCATCCATTGTTGCACTTTTTCCTCCCTACCTTCCCTCCCCCAGTTCATTTTTCTCTTTAAAAAGAATCTCACTGTTACACAAGAGACTGTCAATCTTTCTCCCTTCAAATAGCCAGTGGTTCCCACCACCAGCTTTTGACTAGCAGACCGGTAGGTTAAACACAAAACCTCTAGACTTCCATAACTGATAAACTCAAGCTGGTCAAATTTGTCATAATGTCCCTCCTCCAGGAAGTCCCCCCAGGGCGACTGCCTTCTCTGTAGATGATTCCTGGGGCCAAGTATATAGCTAGATTCCTGTATAAGTATATATAGATTCCTCTGTCTCTCTCTGTGTTGGCTGCCTTGGGAGGGTAGCCAGCCACCAGTTTGGCACTGTCCAGATAAAGCCTCTTTTTGGTATTTGGGCTGGCTCTTGCTCAAGCTGGAACCTCTTAGCAAAAGCTGGGCTAGTAATGGTAGCTTGGTGGCCTCGTGGCAAGTAGCTGTGCTGCAGTCCCAAAGGCATGCGGTTCAAATCCACCCGATGCTCTGCGGGAGACTGATGATCAGTCTTTTCTGGTGGGATTAAGTGTCTCTGAAAACCCTCTGGAGGGTCAGCTATAGGTCCGTTCCAATTCTACTGGTACACGACAAAGACAGCAGTGGAATACTTGACCTCCAGAGGTCTGGGCTCTGTGTGTGTTTGTGGAGGGATGGCCCCTGAGCTGGCAACTGTCCTCCACTCACAGGACGCACCATGCTGACCGGGGTGACCGATGGGATCTTCTGCTGCCTGCTGGGCGCACCACCCAACACCGTGGGGCCCCTGGAGAGCGTGGAGTCCAGCGATGGCTACACCTTTGTGGAGGTCAAGCCAGGCCGCGTACTGCGGGTGAAACACGCCGGGCCCGCCCCGGCCCCTACCCCGCCGCCGCCACCAGCGGCATCCCCGGATGACGCCCAGGAGGACCGTTCCGGCCTGGTCCGTTGTCAGCGTCGGATCACCGTGTACCGCAATGGTCGGTTGCTGGTGGAGAACCTGGGCCGCGAGCCACGAGCTGACCTCCTGCACTGGCAGAATGGCTCAGGGGAGCCGCCCACCGCCCTGGAGGTCGAG